TTGATATCCCCGCCAACTATCCAACGGGGCTTGTAAAGCAACGCTTCTTAACCCGTATAAATTCATTGTTCATTGTTCTATATGTACTCTTATGTCTTCTTCGGTCACCGTCACAAACGACCCACGTTTCGCAGCTGATGGAAGCAACAACCAAACTCCCAATTTTCAATGTCCTGGAATCGCAACCGCCTCTCACTCCACCGAAGCTCCAGCTCTTTTTCGACCTGGTTCTCCATTCATCCTCGCAGCGTTTAATGTTCGGATTTCGATGCAGATCGGACGACAACCACGTCTATCCCGTACTCTTGAAACGCTTTCGGTAGACATCTGTTGCCTTGTAGAGACCAGATTACAAGACTCTAGCGCCGTCATCAGAATGGCCTCTCCGGTAAACCCTGAAGCCGGATACCACCTGCGGCTTTCCGGAGACCCAGAAGCTGCGGCCCACTAGCCAAGCTGGTGTTAGGGTTGCACTGAGTGCCAGGGCTGAATCAGCTCTGCTTGACTGGATCCCAGTCAACAGTCGGCTATGTGCAGTCAGACTACGAGGTTCATGTAACGTAAGCAGGTGTCGAGACGTTAAGCGTGCCTTGTTTGTCGTCTCTGCCTACGCCCCTACAGACTGCAGCCCGGATGCAGTTAAAGATAGCTTTTACCAGCAGCTACATGAACTTCTGCGTTCCTCCAAAAGGACTGATATAGTCATTCTTGCCGGGGACTTTAACGGGCGGGTTGGTCGCTTTCCACCAAGCGAGCACCACCTTGGGGGTAGTTTTGGTCTCGGTGGCAGTCGATCAGACAATGGAGACAGACTGCTTGCTCTTTGCTCTGATCATCACTTGTATCTTTCGAGCACTAGTTTTCGGCACTCGAGAAGACACACTGCTACCTGGCGCCCACTCTCACAAACGCAAGAGTGCTCCCAGCTTGACCACATAGCAATCAGCTGCAGATGGCGCAGAAGCGTAACGGACTGCCGACCGTACTGGTCAATTTATCTCGACTCCGAGCATGCATTGGTTCGTGCTAAGATTTGCATGCGCTTCGGAGGATCACCTAAGCGCGCTCACTACCGATCGGACGTCGCAACTCTACAAAACGTTGCTATTTTAACCAGGTACCAAGCCTCACTGTCAACCTTGTTTGCCTCAACTCTTGACGGTGATCTCGATTCGCAGTGGGCGCATATCAAAGATGCGTTAGTTGCCGCCAGTATCGACACTTGTGGAGTTGGTCGTCACCCACAGAAGCATTGGATTTCCGCCGTCTTCTTGTCGCTGATAGACAAACGCCGCTTGATCCCGTCGGATTCCAGATACAGTGAAGAACGCCAATCCCTTGGTCGAGAGTTGCGCAGGAGTCTGCAAATGGACCGCGAAGCTTAGTGATGTGAACGTGCTAGAGAGATGGAGGTTGCTACTCTCTCTGGTAATACCAGAAAACTTTCCCATCTCATTCGAGTCACCGAAGGAGTTTGATCTGGTATAAGTGAAACTATATGCGAAGATGGCACCTTAATCACCAATCTTCAACGACGGTTGGAGCGATGGGCCGAACATTTTGGCACGCAGTTTTGTTGGCCCCCAGCTCCATCTGCTACCTCTGGCGCTCGCGCTGGGGCCGAGTGGTCCACCCCAACAGATCCTCCCTCTTACCAGGAACTCGAGCAGGAGCTCCGGTACATGAAGCGTTATAAAGCTCCCGGCCCTGATGGTCTTCCTCCAGCTCTATTAAAAGATGGTGGCGCTTCGCTGGTTCGAAAACTCACCGCTTTGTTCTCGAAAATTTGGTCGAAAGAGAAGGTTCCATCATCTTGGAGTGAATCTATAGTCGTCCCCATCTTCAAAAAGGGCTTGCGCGCAATCTGCTCCAGCTACAGAGGCATAAGCTTAGTCCCCGTCGTTTGCAAGCTGCTGGTGTCCATCATACCTCGCAGGCTATCCCCAACGCGCGAATCCTTGCAACAAGAACAAGCTGGGTTTTGTCCTGGTCGCGGCTGCATCGATCAAATCTTCACACTCCGCCAGATACCCGAGCTCCGCCATGTGTATCAGAGGCCAACGATTGCTGTGTTCCTGGATATCCGTGCAGCCTTCGATTCTGTCGATCGTACGGTACTGTGGCACTGCCTACTGAGGAATGGTGTCCCTGAGAAATTCGTCTCCATACTGCGCGCTCTATACAGTCTGACCTCGGGCAGGGTTAGGGCTTATTGCATGCTTTCGCCTACCTTTGTGGTCTCCAGTGAAGTTCGACAAGGATGCCCTATCTCTCCGTTCCTATTCAACTTTGCCATTGAGGATGTCCTGAAGAACGCTCTGGGCGATTCGTTGAATGCTGGCGATGAGCTCCTCCCAGGTAGTCGAGTTGTTGATTTGAATTATGCTGATGATATCGGCTTGCTGCTTGACGATCCACATGTCGTCCAACTTGGCGTCCGCTTGGCGATTGAAGCATCAAAGTATGGTATGTACTTTTCGCCAACCAAATGCAAGGCTCTCTTTCAATACTGGCAGGTGCCTCTGCTTGCACTCACTCTTGGTGGTGAGACACTAGAGGTTATGGTGAGGTTTGGCTACTTGGAAAGTTGCATCATGTTGGCGGGGCTGTCAGAGACGAGGTTTCGATGCGCATCTCGAAAGCACGCCTTGCTTTTTCTAGGCTGAGGCACTTGTGGCGTCGCCACGACATTCGTCTCTCCATCAAAGGCGGGTCTATTGTGCAACCGTTCGTGCTGTACTGTTGTACGGGTGCGAGACCTGGCCCATTCGCAAAGATGACTTGCGCAGGCTACCCGTCTTCGAGCACCGCTGTCTGCGGTCCATTGCCCGTGTGTGGTGGCAGCACCACGTAAGCAATGTGGAAGTTAGACAGCGTGTCTTGGGACGTGGAAGCGACTCGCTCGAGGAGCTCGTCTCACTACATCAACTGCGGTGGTTGGGATACGTATTGCGCATGCCTGTCCAGCGTTACTAGCGTCGTGCGTTGTTTGCGATTGCTGGACAGGGCTGGAGGAGACGGTCTGGTGGACAGCCTACAACATGGAGAAGCCGCATGAAAAAGTTGACGAAACAGTTGGCCTCGGTCGGTTGTTGTCAACTACCTGGTTAGGGTCCGAAAAATGTGGATACTTGCTGGTTGAAGATCTTGGAAGCCACGGCTCAAGGTCGATGTCAATGGCGGACGTGTGCATCGGTGTGTTGCGGTGTCCCTCCCTCCTCCTCCTAAAACACCAAACTAAATATTTTCAAAAACTGTGCGTGGTAAACTAGACAAAAAGCTTTTGTTGTTGTTGTTGCTCTTTTCTTATTATTCATACTGTTTTCCTATTCAGCCGTGATTCCGATGGCACAATATCTGTACCTCGGATTGTGTATTATATATATATATATATATATATATATATATATATATATATATATATCGTTTTCCAAGCCCATTTACCATGTGTCTAGACAGCACACAGGAGCGGTAAGATATCGCTGACTAGTAACAACTGAAGCGATTGCTATCCGCGTCCAGAAGCCAGATTTATGTGCTCAAAAGCGATTTGTACAGTTTCTTTGTCTACCGTTGCCCCTCACCACAAGGATCCATGTTGGGGAACACGCCATTCATAGGGCATTCACCGCTTCCGAACCGTCCATCTAGCTTTGCCATCCAAACAACCTGGACCCTATAACTTTGCCATTGTCTGATGTATTTCGCGTACTTTATTCCTATCAGTTGTGATGTTTAAGCCTGATGAGATCCACCGAAAACAAGCCTGTTCGCTAACTCTTGTTTCTGATGTCTACGCCTGGGATATTTTTTCACTTACAAACTTACTAACAAAAACATCAAGAATTTGGTGTGCCTCGATTGCGCGGATGAGGATGCGAGTGCGGACCCAGTAATATCCAGTCATCCATGTAGCATTTGTCTTCCGTATTGTTCAAGCCTCCACCTGCATTCCATAATTCATTATCTCTTAGAAAAGTTATAATAATAATTCGTATATTTCTCTTGACGCAAGAAATAGCGTCTGTAGCGCCACACAACAATTTGTACAAAAGTATCCATGCGCTTGCATGGATGATATGCATAGGTGGAATATTAGGGTATGCAGTTCGTGCAATTATGTTCTGGTGGATGGTTGAGGCGAAAACCCAATTTTGGAAACATTAGTGTTTAGATGTTTTCGGTCCCCCTTAAAATTGCTCACGGGGAGATTTTCTCAGTTACATATAGTGATTTTCTTATTTAGATCCTCGTGACTGGAGAGTTAGCTTCTAAATGTTGTCACATTATCACCTGATCTGAGCGTGATTGACCGTTGATTACACGAATATTTATATCTGACCAGGAAGAAATTAGATAGAATAGTCGTTCTAGCCTTTGACATATTTAGTGTAAAATACTTGTGGCGAAACTTGAGTTGAGCTATATTGTGGTTCTACTATAGTCAGATCGGAATAGGTCTTTTTGTTAGCAGGTTGAAAAACAGCAACATGTTAAGCCCCTTAGTTAGACTAAAAAATCACCAGTCGTTTATTCCAAATGATCAAATCCTTTCACCGTTGGAACATGCACCGACACACCACGAAGATGGAATGTGACCTAACCATTCATTACTGCAGCTTTAGGTAGCTTATCGTGTTGTTGCAAGTTTTCTCATAATTGTAAATACCTGAGGAGAATTATCGAAAAGAGATCTCTTCGCATCAACTCCTCCTCCAAGTTCGTATTGATTGGCAACTTGTTCCTCGTCAAAGCGCCAACGTCATATTGCTTAAAAGAGCCCCTTTTCAGTGGCTATATATCTCATTATTGTGGTTGCTTGCTGAGATTTACCATGAGGAATTTCTTACGCAATCATCTTCTTGACTTTTGAATAAGCATAATTTACAAGTAATGGAATACTTTCCTGAATGCTACATCGGTTCTATACACTATTTGCGTAATTTGGGGCCATTGTAGTTTCGCTTTTACACCAAAAACATGGGTAACGAACAACTTACATTAACCATTGATATATCATCTTGGATATTCAAGGCATACTTGAACAGCTGTCTTCGTGTAATAATACCGTCTTCATCAGTATCCACAGCGGCAAACTGTGTTAAATAATCCGTCGGTTCCATTTACAGAGAAAAGCGTCCTCCACCATCATTGTGTACAGCTTCTCGGTACTTAAAACGTCCCGCGTTCAAATTCCGTTGGTTGGCTTCCTGCGACAACTATCAAGGGCGCAGGCTCATGTCATCGTTGGCTTCATTTATTCGTGTACGGATTGGTCGATATTTGTCTGCTTTCAATCTACTCACCTCGGCTTAACGCAATCTAAAGTTGCGCAGCGCGTCAATATATGTGGCCCATGCTTGTGTTTGTAGTCTGTGTGCTAGAGGAATCGATAAACTGAGAAAGTGGTTCACCCCTCGACTAAGCCCGATTCAGTAAGCTCACAATTCAGACAGTGTTTATGAGATCGCTTGACTATTTTGATATGGTCGTCAGAAGACTTGACGAACACTGTGAAATAGGAAATCGTACATGATCCCCTAGTTAGAACGCTTGTTCCGTGTTGCACAATAAAAGTCAAATTGCTCAGATGTCTACAAAATCACTACCCTTATGTTAGTGGTACATGCATTTGATAGCTTAAAACAAAGCACATGATGACAGTGGAGGATGTGGCGGATGCAAGACTCTCATTTACCCGATTACTAAGTCGCCGACAATATCGATTTGGTACAAGACACCCAAATGCCATTCATTTGTCACCGCTAGTCACATCATCTTGAGTGGTGAATGAGTAGCTTTCGTTTTTAACGCTTTCGTAAAAATTACTTTCGCCGTTATCTTTCGTCCCATTTCACAGATCAATAGAGCCATTTACATTCTTTCTATCAACTTGGAAGTATTTGTGAGTAATGGAGTTGTGTCCGGACACGGACAATTGACAAGTAAGCGTAAATATTTAAGTTTCAAAAGGTTTATTTGGGTAATAAAATGTTTGGTTCTATACGACCAGATGACAATTAGTTTCGAGTATCTAGGTAAGTATTCAACCACGTATTGAAGGTGTAATACAAACGCGCACCGCCCTAATTACATGAGGATTCCAATCCAAAGTAGCGCATGTTTCTATTGTAACGAGTGATTGGTTAAGTGACTTATTTCCCGCTACTTAAGGATGGGTGTTTATTGCAGACACACATCAAGTTTGCAGTCGATTAAATTCATTTCACAACTCATTCCTCTGACGATGATTTTTACTAGGGCTTGTGGTTGGCCGTGGATACTTAAATAAATAAATAAATCAATCAATTTGTATATTTACCGACGAACGGTACACGGCCCCATAAGTGGGCAGAGTAGTTTTCTTCCTACGAATCGGGAGTGAACTCACCAGTTTGATCTTAGCTATAGAACAATGCTTTATGACGGTCGAAAAGTCATAGGTTTAACAGGTTCTATAAGTTAATAATGCATAGAAATGAAAATTGGAAGACTGCACTGGTGGATCATAGCAAATGCTCTACCGAGAGGAGATGGAGCAATGACATAGAGAAGTACGGTTGTGGGTATGGGATAACAAGAGGCAAAACGGAATAGCAAGTTAGTATGGTTAATGCTCACCGCAAAGAAAGCTCGGATTGCTCAACCGCTCAAACCAACTTACTTGCGTTATTGTGGATCATAATTCCAGAAAAGGTGGTTCGGCGAATACTTTTCAGAATCCGTTCACGTAACAAAGTGTAGGAAGCCCGATGCGATATCCATATGTATCTCGAAAGTGGCTGAACTAGGGACACAAACAACTGAGCTTTCAGGATCCTTCTAGGGTTGGCAGACCCAACGGGGGGAGTTAAGTTCAGCGGCCATCTACACCACCGTATTATTCATTTACTTTAAAGCTATTGTCTCTGAGGTTGGTATTCGGGTCGAATTTTAAAAAGAGGCCGCATATGTGACTGGGGCAGCTCAGTATTTCGTATACCATTATGAGGTGTCCATGCAGCCGTCGGTAGCGTCCATCGAATACTGAGTATCTTCAGTCGTTCCTGGTACGGAAGATTGCGCAAACCATTGAGAAGCTAGGTTGCTTGACGTTGAGGGGTTTCAAGCGATACTAGGTCAAGCTTCAGCCAAGCCTGGATAGAGTATTCAACGTGGGAACGCACGTGGGCATTGGACATTAGAGGGAAGATGGATGAACACAAATTCCCGTATCTAGAACACCAATGTGGTGCAGTGGGTCGTACCAGTGAAGCGAGTTGATATATGACTTAAAGTGACATGACGCTAACATATCTGCCGGTAACTACAAACACAGTTAATGTATAATAGTTTATGCAATAAGCACGCGATAATGTGTTTGGCAACGGCTATGATGACGCAGAAACGCCAGCCTAGCGGTTTAAATTCGATCAAAAATTGCAGCAATGTAGACGAAATTGAGTGTGATTCGAAATCAGGAACTTGTGGTAACTATTTGTTATGTCGTTGACGACTATTCACGCCCGCACGACCGCAAGAAGAACATGAAGATGAGTCAGGATCGAGTTTTTTACATGAGTAATCAGCAAATTTAATTAGCGTGCGTCAGTAGCTAAAGCCAGGCTACTAAAACACGTTGGAACCAACCAGCAAAGTAGGAGTCACTGAATAATGCAGGCAAATGAGAAGTGGTAAAAGAAAGAACCAGTCAGGCAAGTTCAAGCGAACGGCACTAGCGAAAATAAACCCCTGAGATGGCATCAATTATGAACGACGTGGGCCGGCCAATCAAAGCAAAGAATTGATGCGTTTCAACAAGTATCACGAAACAAACGGTAGCAAAACGAAGCAGGCCACAAAGAATGGGTACAAAAATATATGTCCAATTCGCATCATCCTAACACTATTCTTTCCTTGCAACTTTATTATGGTTGAATTCAACCGGGCATTTGGTGGCGCCTTAAAGTACGTCTTCACTCTCGCTACCGCAAAGTGTACACATTTGTTAGGTCACAGGTGCGAATCTTGAACAATTAGATGTTGTGGATAAACCCAGTCTACGCAGCCGGCTTTGTAAAACCCTTCCCACTTGCGGTGATGAGTACACCCGCGCTACAACACCGCTTGAGGTGAAATGCTCCTTGCTTTTTCAGCCATCGGAAGTACTTCAATTCACACTGGAGCCCGTCAGGTAGTACAGAATTGCGAGAACCATCGTAACTATCGCAATGAGGCTGGACCTTAATGTGGTGCGATGGTTTGTGTGCCTCAACAATCCATTGCGCTATGCTAGGTGGCGATTTTGGCACCCACAGAACCACGCATACTAGATTGGTCAATGAGTAAAGATCAGATAAACAGTCTCCTGACCTTCCAGCTTCGAGGTTTTAATAAGTGCCCTCTTACTCCATAAACAGGACTCACTGTAGGCCCTGCTTTGCGGGCAGGTTTTTTACTAAATGACTTGGCGGAGAACCCTAAATGTTATTCTCTCCAGAGCTGAGCAACCTTACAATATTCTATCCACGCAATACAGTGAACTCCTCAAAAATTGCTTGATGCGCGGGTCATCAAAGAGGAAAAACAACAGCCGTCTTGTTTGCTGTCTTGAAAATGGCGGATAGCGGCGAGGGTACTACGGCATTCCTGTCTTCGTGTCCCCACCTCTTGTAATTTTACATTCTTATCTTCATGATATAACTTCACCTTTTCTCCTTCTCTCAAACTACAACATTTAGCTTTCCTCCAAATTGTTTTGATAGGTATTTGTCTTTCATTTTAAAAACACAATCACTTACCAACACTTCTGATGTGTTGGCAAAGTCCATGTTCAACCGAGCGGCCAACCTCAGTTCATCTACTCTATTTAGAGCCCTTGGTCGTCCTTAAGACTGTCCTGCGTCAACGTTCGCACCCACTACATCCAACAGGCAGCACTTACCGGAACATTAGATACCCTGTCAATCGAAGTCTACTGTTTATCAGAAACCCCGCTGCATGACGCGAGCTTTGTGTTCACTTTACGACACCCCACATTTGACACTGGCAATGTTGTATCACCGTATCAATCCTGAGATAACACATTCTTCGAATTCCCGTCAAACCCGTTGGCACACTGCTCTGAGGCCCCGTGGCTCAAACTGCTCTGGCAGCCGGATGTGCGCCAGCCGACTGGCTGACTCGTTTGAAGTTTCGAAGTCACGCGAGACTAACAGTTGCCTGCTTGCTATTACTCCCAACGTCCTCACAAACTATGGCACTGACTCGTTGCAAGACGAGTTTTTTCACCAACTGAACGAGCTCCTTCGTTACAGAAGAAGCATGGATAATGCACCTCTGGTTGGGAATTTAAACGCCCAGCTAGGAAAATTGTCGACTGATGAGCTGCATGTGGGCGACCAACACGAAATGATTACAATGAGCGATTGTCACACCTGCGTGAAGATGCCAGTCTAGTTCTCGCCAGCACTGACTTCGCACAGAGCATCAGCAGAAGGATGGTATGGCGCCCACGAGCCTCGGATCAGAAATGGGCGTAACTTGATCACATCGCAAACAGTTACAGCAAAAGAGGAAGCACTTAAAACTGTCGTCAAATTTGGAGCACAAGCGTGGACTCTGACCCCGCACTAGTATTTTCCGATCTGCAGAGGCGTTTCCGCGGACGCCCACGAAGACGCTGTAATGCATGGGCACTCGCCAACTGGAAAAGTCAGATGTTCTGAATAAGGGTAGATGGTCTTCTTTTTTTAATACCAGTCCATGGGTGACTGTTACGTACCGATCGTGTATTCCTAATCCGTGTATGGACCCGTAGTCCGTTTAGACGTAGGAAAAACACCAACACCGGATGGTACGTGTGAAACTGTAATCCGCTCCTAACCGGAGCCAAGTGAAAACATATAGGACCAAACGAACCAATGAGCAACTGAAACCAATCAGTGAATGTATTATACTCATGTGCTTAGGCGCGTGTAGTTAGTGGGTGTAGCATGACGCATCGATTGCGGATGTCCGTAACAGACCACTTCTACGGGTTATAAGCTCACAGCTCTATTAGCGTAGTGCACAAGCGCCACCCATTGCCTCTGACGGTGGGAGGACACAATCCGGTGCTCAACTGGTTTGCTATCGCCTGCCT